GCAGGAATGGGTAGTGACTGTTAATGTGCTGAAGTTGATTATGGTGATGTTTGGACATCTCTGTGAACCCGCTAAAAACCATGTGGGTGTAGGGTATGTGAATTGTACCTCAATAAGGCTATTTTCTTTTTTAAGGTCCTCAGGGGAGCGCTGTAAGTGCCACCGAATTTTGACGGGCGGTGGGCACTGGTTCCGGGGCAGGGGCCTCAGCTCACAGCACCAGGCAGACGTTTCCCTCATCCTCTTGCTGTTGCTTCTCCCATCCCACCTCCCAGGTCTCCCCATCGTACCCCTTGACGCGCCTGGCTCTCTGTGTTCAGCACTGATCCCAGTTCGTGGTTATCTTCCCGGATGTGATGCTCTATTTAACACCTGCTCTCTGGCTAGACTGCAAGCTCCAGGAGAGCAGGGGATGCGCTTTGTTCGCTTGTGACCCGCTGGTGCCCAGAGGCATCTAACAGTCAGTTCTCAGATATCTGCTGAATAAATGAACCCTGAACACCCAGCGAACCCCGTCAAATTAGACTCGACATTCTCCCAAGTTACTGGATGGAAGCATCTTAACAGCCTACAGACTTGCCCCGTGAGGATGGACCGCGCAGGCCCGTGCAGGGTGAGGAACGAGAAGCAGAGGTGATGTGATGCGGGAAGGGGCGCGGACCCTGGGCCGAGACAAACTCACCTCTCCAGGTTGGCCATCTGCTTCACAGCCTCCACAGCGCCTGGCAGAGGCTCGAGGTCAAAGAAGAAATTCTCCGACTCCCAGATGCTGATCGCCTTCTCCTGAGAAGGGAAGTGCAGGTGATGCCCGGGGTCCTCAGCACCCTGCGTGCCCACACCCCGGGGACGCAGCTCCTGGGGGAGGAAGGGTGGGAGCTGGCACTGGCGTGTGTTCCGGCCCCTTTACAGGAGGCATCCAGCTTCTGTGGGGATCCAACAGGGACCGGCTACGGTGCTGGGGCTGTGGATTCTGAAGCCAGCGCTGCTGCAGGCCCTGCTGGAGCTGGCGGGCACAGAAGGTCGGCCCCCAGGAGCCACACGTTTGCCTGATTCTAAAGGCCTGAGGCCCCCTGGAGGCAGCGAGGGTGGGCTGGGTCCTGCCACGGCGCTGGAATCTCACTTTCAACAGCTGGAGGAGCTCAGGCCCTTCAGAGCACCGCCGTGCCACGAGGGATGGGGGCGTGGGCAGAAGGCCGACCGGGCGGAGCTCCAGGCTCCGCACCACATCGGCAGAACAGCTCTTTATCTGAGCTGCACATTGGGATGCCAATAATACTTCGGTAACACACACACACACACACACACACACACACACACACACACACACACACAACTATTCTGCTGCTCTTAAAGTTTAAAAGCCCCCAATCCAGACCCTCATTTCACATGTGAGAAAACCGAGGCTCAGAATGGGGAAGGGATTGACTTAATGTCACACAGCAAAACGGTGGCTCCCAACCGCCCGGCTAGGAGTGTCCGTCTTATGCTGCTGGCCAAATTCAAGTCTGCAGTATGCCACCCCCTTCCAGGGCCAGGACAAGGGGAAAGTGACAACCCCCAGCCTCTGAGAAGCAGGAAACCATGTCCCATGTGGGCAACGCAGGAAGCGTTCCCCCACCCACTGTCAGAACACCCCCCAGAACAAATGCCACCACGGCGACATACGGGGAGTACACGGAGGTCACACGGGCAATACTGTTGTCAACTACGTGGGCTTAAGCAAATCAGTGCTTATTGCTAATATATGCCCTCTCCTGTCTGAGCCTCACATCCCACAAGCGGCAAGAGCTGCCATCCCCAATTTACAGATGAGGGAACTGGACTTCACTGAAGCTTTTATTCAAGGCCACTTCAGGGTGGTACTGTCAGAACTTGAACTTGGGGCTTCTGACTCAAAGGGAAACAGTGTGAGTGGTGGAAAGCAAGCTGTGGCCCAGGGCTAACCATTTCCCCTCAGCATCCCAGCTTACCTCCCTCCCCCTCAACTTTCCCTGAAACCCTGGTCAAGGGACTTCCTTTCTCTGAGGCCCGTTCAACTGCCCTAACAGTGTAAGATTCTAAGTCAGTGAAGAGCTATGCCTTCCCCTCCGCCCTGCTCACCCCTCGGCAAGCGAGGCTCAAAGGAAACACAGAAAGACCCACATTTTGTAAAGCAGGGATGCCTCCGTGTGGAAGCCGGGTGCTTGACAGGGAGGTTTTAATGCAGATGCTGGGCCAGCTCCGCTAAGGGGAGACCAGGGAGGTCCTGCTATGAGCTGTGCCTGGGGGTAAAGGTCATGTGTGCGTCTATTAAAGCCCCATTGCCTGCAATGTTCCCAGGAGCAGCAGTGCACAGTGAGCTCTCGGAGCACCCCTCCTCGGTGCCCGAGTTCTGCTCCCAGGCCTTGTTCTTGGAAGACAGTAACGCATTCCCTTAGACCCGGAGTCTGCATATTAGCACAATGGACTAGAAGAGCCACTGTCCTTGGAGAGCTGAGGGGTGGGCGACCTAATGGCAGTGGCAGTCTGTGGGACCTGGACTTGAGGGAGCCGCCAACTGAGATCTGCATCTTCAGCCAGGCCTGGGCACTGGCGGGAGGACCCAGACTTGGTGCTGGACGAACGCTCTGGGGAAGGGTAACCGGCCCCGCAGAGACCCCCTCCTCTTAGCCAGGACCTGGACCTTCGAGGGTGAAAATTGTGCCGTAAGACCTTGCCCTTTCTTGTCAGAACAGAGAATAACATTTGCTTGGTGGAGATTTACAGGAACATCATTACCTGACCATGAGCTGACCTCAAGAACAAAGGATCTAACACCAAGAAGTCTGCACCAACTAACCACATCCCTCCCTCACCTTTCCTAGAAAAGGGCTTTGCTGAAAGCTTTTGGGAAGTTTGGGGTTTTTAAGGCATGAGCCATCCATCTCCTTGCATGGCCCTGCAGTAGACCTTTCTCTGTTCCAAACTCTGACGTTTTGGTATTGTTTGGCCTCACTGTGCATCAGGTACACGGACTTCCATTTCAGTAACAGGCTTAGTGGCATCACAGTAACACGGTCCTGGGAGGAAAGGAAGAACCCGGACGGCAACGCTGAGTGCCGTCTATGAATGAAGACACACACAGGGCAGGGGAGAACATTACTGGGCCTGCAAAAATTACTAGGGCATTTTCTCCGGTTTAAAGTTTTTAATTAGGTATGGGAGTGGGAGAGGTCAGCACCCCAGCCTCAGGGGAAAGTTGCCTTCTGAAGCGCCTGGTGTTAATGAAAAGAAATGGCGCTTGATTTCTTTTTTAACACCCACCCCTCCACGAACCAAATTACTGTCGAGATGCCTTTTGTAAATCAAAGAACTGGCGCTTGTTAGAGGACGACAGAGGACAGGACTGAATGACCTTGGCAAGCGGACAGACAGCTCAGATTCAGGCTGACCCTTCTTGGCTGTGACATGCGACAGGTTTCCTCACCTCACAAGGGAGAAAATAATGTCTGCCTCACAGAGGAGGGAATGCAGCAACCTGGGGTTACAAAATAGGTTCTAAAATCATCATCAACTCCCCCTGGCAGCCACCTTAGGTGGCCAGTTGAGGGACAGCAGAAAACAGTGGGTCTCTAAGTTGGTCCATGGCAAGATCCCGTACCTGTCACCAAGTAGTTTAAATGGACAAACCAAGCGATCTAAGAACGTCCCTGGTGTCAGAGCTCAGGTGCTCAGCTGGGCGGGCTGGGGTAGGGGATAAGCCAAGGAGTAGATCCGGACCCACCGCGACTCCCTGTGTGCCGTCCAGGAAGGCTCGCAACCTCAGTGCTACTGGGAACCACACTTTGGTGGAAAAGGGAAAAAAAGAATGGATGGTAAAGATGCTCATCAAATTCAGGCAGAGGAAAAACGGGAATGCGACTTGAGGCCAAAATTAAAAAGTCAGTTGAAGATAGGGAGTTAGGTATATTACGCTTTATGTGCTCCTGAATTTTGAGAAGCCCTCGATGACAGCCAAGAGCTATCGAACGCAGAGGCCCCTAGGACCCGGTGCTACGGGTGGCGACTCCCAGGGCCACGCGCGCCCGGGGCGGGGATGCTCACGCTCAGCCCGGGCTGCAGGCGGTCGTACTGCTCCGACACCCAGAAGCCGCGCCGGTCCTCCAGCGCGATGAAGGGCTGGTCGGGGAAGCGCGCGCGGAACTTCCTGAGGAAGCCGCCCTCGAAGTCGGCCAGCACGCCGTCCATGTCCACCAGCACCCGCAGGGCGCGGCCGGCAGGCCGGCCTGACGCCCAGCGCAGCCCAGCGGGCCCCGCAGGCACCGCTGCGCCGCGGGGCCTCCGCGCGCACCAGCCGCGCAGCCGGATCATGGCCCCCGGCGGGCGCTCGCCGCGAACACCGGGGCCATGTCCGCGGGAGGAGACACTGCGGACAGGGGTGCGGGCGTCGGGGTCGCGGGATGCGGGGGGCTCGCGCGGGGCCGGGGACGCGCGGGATGCGGGGGGCGCGCGGGGCGAGCGGGAAACGAGCGCGCAGGCTCAAGCCCCAGAGCGAGGCTGTGGCCTCGCCGCCCTTAAAGGGACCCGCGCTGGCGGAGGCGGGCCCGAGGGGCGTGGCCTGGAGGATAGCCCTGGGCGCCGGGCTGTCCCAGGGGCGTCCGCAGTCCCCGGATCTCCACTGGCACCTTCTCCCGGGATCCTGCGCCTGGGCTCCCTCCTCCCAATGCCGCAGGAGCAGGCCTGTGTCTCGGAAACGTTCACTGAGCCCCTAGAGCGTCGCGCAGTGGACCACGTGGACGAGGTCCTGCTACCCTGGAACTCACACTTTAGAAGGGGAGACGGACACAAAGCAAACAAGTCAACAAAATAGGCAGAAGAACTTCAGGGAGTGACAGTAGTAGGAAGGAACCAAAACAGTGATGTGCCCCCTGCTTTACAGTGACTGGCTGGGTAGAGGCTGTTAGAAGAGCAATTAACACCGTGCAAATATCACGAAGCCTTAATAAAACCGGTGACTTTCAAATGAATCTAAAATAAATATTGTTATGTACCCCGTTATAGGTGGCTTTCCTTTTTCTTCTGGCTTTAAAATCTTTTATTGTCAATTTGAATGAATAAGAGACTATTACTGTTGTTATAGGCAAGCAGTATCCAACAGAGACACACCAGGACCCTCCTCACCCACTATACTCTAAGACACACTAGCATTTTGTCTTTTCCAGAAACACACCAAGCTTATTTGGGTCTAAAGATCTTGGCATACATTTGTTCCTCTCCCTGAAACTCTCCGCTCCCAGATCCCTTTTCACTGGCTCCTTCTCACCCTTCACATCTTGCAAGCATTTCCTGACCTTCCTCTACCCCATGACCATGTTTCATTTTCTTCATAACAGGTACTGACTCTCTGAAAGTATTTTGTTTGCTTGCTTTGTGTGTAACTCCTACAGCCAGAGCTTCATTGCCGCAAGAACTTTGTCTTGATGACAGATATACACCTGGCATCTGGCACAGGGCTGGACACATATCAGAGACAAAGTAAATGTGTATTCAAAGAATGAAAAACAGATAGTTAAATGTGGTATCTCCACTCATTGCTGTGGCTGTTTGTTGTAAGGTGTGTCTCAAGTAATTGCTGGGGACTTCGCTGGTGGCACAGTGGTTAAAAATCCACCTGCCAATAAAGGGGACATGGGTTCGAGCCCCGGGCCCGGAAGATCCCACATCTAAGAACGCACAACTAAGCCTGTGCGCCGCAGCTACTGAGCCTGCCCTCTAGAGCCCCCGAGCCACAACTACTGAGCCTGCGTGCCTAGAGTCCCTGCTCCGCACCAAGAGAAGCCACTGCAATGAGAAGCCCACGCAATGCAACAAAGAGTAGCCCCTGCTCGCCACAACTAGAGAAAGCCTGCACACAGCAACAAAGACCCAATACAGCCAAAAATAAATAAATAGATTTATTAAAAATAGTTAAAAAATAAACTTAATTGCTGGATTTTACACATGAATAGCTTAAAAAAGTTAGAATATATCCAAGGTTATCCCTCTAACCACATCTCCTTCAGTCATTTCACTCTTGAGAGGAAGAGAGAAGGGTGGGATGCCCCTTAGCAGTTTTGAAATGAGTGTGATTTGATTCCTGGCTCCTCTTTGCCACAATGCAGGTATTCTCAAGCTTTAGTGTGCATCAAGGTTACCTTCAGGGCTTGTTAAACTCAGACTGCAGGGCACCACCCTCAGAGTTTGTAGTAAGTCTAAAGTGGAGTCCAAGAATTTGCATTTCTAAGAAGTTCCCAGGTGACGTTGATGCTGCGGGCTGAGGAACCACACTGAGAACAGATGCCACAATCTAAATAGGCAACAAAATTTAAAGTATGACTAGTAGCTGTGGCTATTTTGAATTATTGTAGTGCTTAACTTCTCACAACATTTTTGGATTTTATTAAAATCCATGCACATCCATGGAAATGTGTCCTATAATTCAAAATATGTCTTCTGTTTGAGGACCAAATGTTGCCATACAGCATTCAGGGACAGCTCCATCCTAGAGTACAAGTGTTAAAGTCATTCATCTATACTTGTCCCAAATACATCAATTTATTTCCATCTCTATTTCAAGGTACAATTTTTACTATTATATTTCATATCGACTGACTACTGTAATAGCTTCCTAAATGATTCTCTGAGGTTATCCATGTAAAGCCAGACAGCCCTTTCTAAGTGCAAGTCTGAACATGCCACTCTCTTGCATCAAACTCTCCGTGGCGTCCCAATCTTTCGGGGAAAAGTCCAGTATCTTTAACACAGCTTACTTGACGTGGTCCCTGTCTATCCTGCAGCCCCACTTCACACCACTCCCCTCCAACCATAAGTATTTTACGTGGTTTATCGTGAGAACTGTACAGATGGGGAAACAAGGCAGAGGACAGCCAAGGTACTTGCCCAGAGTCACAGAGCTACTAAGTGGTAGACAAGGGATTTGACCGCACGCTGCCTGCCTGGCCGGACTACTACCTCGCGGGAAAAGCCTTAGGGAATAGGTGGCAAGTAAGCCGGGCTTGGAGGATTTGGCAAGGTGTTAAACGGGACAGCCATTCCCGACAAAATCCGGAAAGGATGTGCCTAACTAGGAGTTCAGTTCCTTCCTTTGCCCACCCTCCCCGTTAAATCCAGGGAGCGATTTCGCGTGTGCACAGAACGAAGACGGAAGGGAAAGAAAGCTGCCTTCCGGCGTGGCATCCCTAGAGCGGATTCCATGGAAACAGTAGCCGGGTCCCAGGTAGGTGAGATCTCGCGGTGCTTGAGCGGCGGAAGTGACGTCATCGCCCTCGAGGCCCGCCAGTGGGTCGCCGGTGCTCGTCCCGCGCGCGCCGCCTCCGCCGCCGGGTCGCCGGGAACATGGCGTCTGCCCTGGAGCAGTTCGTCAACAGCGTCCGCCAGCTCTCGGCCCAAGGTGAGGCAGTGGGCGCAGGCCGCGAGCCTGCGTCCGGGCTGGGCCGGGGGTCTCGGCGCTTGGGCCGGGGCTGACGAGCGCGCGAGCTGGGCGGCCTCTCCGCCCGGGTCCCGACCCCCGGCCTCCGCCCCCCGCCGTCGGTGCCTCCTCGGTCTCGGCTCCTGGCGGCCCCTCCCGACCTGGCCGGGCGGCGGGGCCCCTCGCGGCTTGGCGCGCACGTCCCCCGGGGGCCCTGGCTCCAGGCGCTGGGGCCGGGGCTGACGAGCGCGCGAGCTGGGCGGCCTCTCCGCCCGGGTCCCGACCCCCGGCCTCCGCCCCCCGCCGTCGGTGCCTCCTCGGTCTCGGCTCCTGGCGGCCCCTCCCGACCTGGCCGGGCGGCGGGGCCCCTCGCGGCTTGGCGCGCACGTCCCCCGGGGGCCCTGGCTCCAGGCTCCCCTCTTGCGGGCGGAGTTGGGACCGTTGTTAATTTTTTTCCTAATTTTCATGCCATTGGTTCGTTCGTTTCATCACCTGCGTATCGAGCCCTGGGCCCAGAATTAAAGTAGTTTTGGCCGATGCTGTAAGGCCTCTTTCCCCACCCTGTTTGTTCATCTGTGGAATAGAAATGGCCCTACTCCGCCGAGTTGTCAGGACTGAGAGGGAGGAACCGTTAAAGTTGCAGGAGCTGCGTGACCTTGGACAGGCACGCTTCTCTCCTGAGTTCCATCTCCTTGTGTAAGAAGGGCAGGCGCTTCCCCGAGGTTGCGCAGGTGTGGGGCGCGGCGCAGCGCGGCGCAGCGCGGCGGTTCTGTCTCGTTTCTCTCGTTACTGGTAGGAGTTGGCTTCACAGGTGAGCCATATTCTCCAGGCGTGAAGAAGCCATCCATGCGTTCGTTCGTGCCACGGACTTAAGTTTCTCCTTCCCGCGGTTCCGTGTGCCTAGAAGCTTTGGGCTTGAGTCCTGTCTCGGTCGCTCGGTGTGCCAGCCGTCTAATTTTCCCGGGCCAGTATTCTTATTTACAAGGCAGAACTAGGGCTGTGGTCGTGAGCATCAAGCAGGATCACTTATCTGAAAGCTTTGCACACACGCTCTGTGCAAGTCGCTGCTTTAGGAGCAGTGTGCCGGACAGAGAGGCACAGGACACTTGCCCTGCCCCTGTGCCTCGTGCCTGTGTCCCTGTGCCTCGTGCCTGTGTCCCTGTGCCTCATGCTCCCCGAATAGCAAACGTTAATGAGCTTGTTTCCTCAGCTCTTATTCAGAATTTTCTCCCATGAACCTTAGGTGAAGGGAATGGCATAATGTCCCAGCTTTCTCTAATTAGAGGACGTTTCGTTGGCCCCCATCTGGTTCGGTTCATTTCACACGCACCCTGTGGCCCTTAGGTGTGTCTCCCCTTGGCCTGCCCGAGGTGACTGCCTTATGATTTCAGGGTGACCCAGCATTTCTCTTAGGTCTCACCTCAGGATTGGTTATTTAATTGGGGGAAAATCATGGACTGAAATGCTTAATTGTGGGTGATTCAAATCACTGCAAAGAAGCTATTTCATTCCTGCCAGTGAGATCTCTTAACAACATGATGATGAGTTGGTATTGATATTTCCCAGTTCAACTAGTATTATTACCGTGAAAGATGATACCTAATGAGATCATGGACTTTCTTTGTTATTGTTTTGCAGTGAGTGGGATAATAATGGAATGTTTATTTTTGGTAAAAATTTAAAAGTATAGTAAGAAGCTCTAGAAATTATCAAAGTTCCTGGCTACAGTCACTTGGATTTTTTAAGCATTATACCATTTGAGTGTTTTTAAAATTTATTTTATTTTTTAGTAAATTTTTATTTATTTGCTTATTTATTTATTTATGGCTGCCTTGGGTCTTCGTTGCTGCACGCGGGCTTTCTCTAGTTGCGGCAAGCGGGGGCTACTGTCATTGCGATGGCT